AATCATTTTGTATATAATCGAGTCTCTCACAGGAAACAATTTGCTCAACAGACGGAAAATTCACAATCAATGCTCTACGGTGTATCAGTCCACCGTTAGATCGTTCGAGGAATATCTACCAATGACTGCATTCGACCTAGTGGTTAAGAGTTAATCACGATGGAATAGGTGTCAATGTGAAGTTTGAAGAAGTTATGCATGATCACCTGGACCTTTACGTTAAGGAAGTTGCGTTAATGGCAATGTTACGATTGTGCACGGCTGATGTAAACCTCGAAGTAGGAATGGTTCAATTGAGGCTGAGCCTATGGCGAGGAGTGCTCACTGCACAACCTCTACTGCAGATAACCAGTGATGCAATTGAACCCAGGTTTGTGTTTAATAAACCCTACAAAATACAAATTAAACAGAACACAGAGTCAGATGCTACGCATATATACAGATGGCTCAAAAAACAAAGAAGGCTCAGGATGTGGAGTATACTACAGATCACTACTAAGGATTAAGTAGGGAATGAGAAAAATACCAGCGTGGTTCAAATAGAACTGGCTGGTATCTCAATCGCCACAAAAGAAATATTTTTATTTTATTTATTTGTTTTATTGATCACAGGTACACCATGATCTCTGGACAAGTCACATAAAATACATATATATGACATATATACAATTGAAAATTATAAATTATTTACAACCTAAAATTACAACATGATTACTAACACATGAAATATAGAACAAAATTTAAAAGTGAAACATAAACATATTAGGATCCATATAGATTATTAACAAATCTGTCATATTTATAAATAAGAGTTAGGAGTATTATGTAATAATTTGAAACAAATTTAACCAGAAGAATGAAAAAAATAACAGGAATTGTAATTCAAATTAACTTAGGACAATTCGAAATCATTTACTTCGTGGTAGGCTTTCCTCAACAGAATACTCTTCCGTTTCTTTTTGAATATTTCCAGGTGAGTATCTTTCAATTCAATAGGTAATTTATTTAACAGTCTCATTCCTAGATAATTGCGACTAGTATTTGCTAATTTATGTTGTGGAATCAGCAGGTTGTCTCTATTTCTTGTATCATAATTATGATTATAATCATAGTTGCTGATATTTTCTTTTATGAATACCAAGTTTGTATAATGACTGATGAAGGTAACGTCAAAATACCTAGCTGTACAAACCACGGCTTTCAACTTTCCAATCTGTTTAAACCTACAATTGCTCTTTTTTGGAGTAAAAAAATAGGCTGTAAGTAGATAGAGTGTCCCCAATTTAATAATCTAATGTCATAACATTATGAAATAGTCATGATAGCCGCTTTCCTACCTAAATTAATTTTAACTTGTCTAATACCATAAATGGTCTTAGATAACCTACTCGAAAGATTGTCTGTGTGAGTTTTCCACGACAAGTTGCTGTCCAAGTGAATTCCTAAAAGCATCATTTCCTTGGTTTAAGAATAGCATAGAAGCTGTTTTCACTTTATTGATTTGTAATTTATTTGCCTTAAACCAATCATTATCTGACTCAGTTGTGTTCGATTTGTCATATAAGATCGCATCAAATCAAGAGATATACCTCTGAGACCATAGTATTTCAGCTTTTCGAGTAAAATATTTTTTGAGACACAATAGAAAACTTTACTCAGATAAAGAAATACTGCCAAGGTTGATACTTTGTCTTCGAATACCTCTCGTATGAAATTGGTTAGCTCAAAAACTGCCCCAGCAGTACTTTTCCGCTTTCTAAATCCAAACTGCGAACTCGTGAATAAGTTATTTTGTTCTAAAAATGAGGCTATTCGTATTGCAACTATTTTTTCAGCAATTTTACCTGAAATGGGGACCAATGTAATTGGTCTGTGGTTTGATATCGATGTTGTATCTCCTGATTTGAATATTGGTATCACTTTTGCGATTTTTAGTTTATCCGGTAATATTCCAGTTGTTAATATATTATTTATTATCTGAGTTATCGTTTTTAGTTATGCATCTAGGTTTTCTTTATACATACACACTGAGTGGTTGTATATGTCAGATGAATTGGAATTCTTGAATGATTTTATTATATCAGTTATTTCTTCTTCTGTTGGAGGATAGATGAAAAGTGAATTTCCATTCACGGTAGTAGGGGATTTACCCAGATGTGTCGAGAAATGAGCTTCCTTCCTGTATTGGTGTTGATGTGCTCCCAGATAGCTTTTGGTCTATTAGACGACTCGCGAATATTATTCAGCGCCACTTGCTTTTTCCTATTAATAAGTAGTTGTTCATACTCGTATTTCTTTAACTTGAATTGTTCTTTTAATTCTTAATTATTTGGTAATTTCAACTCTATTAAATGCTTCAAGTTGGTAATTTCTGTCTTGGCTTTTATAATGCTAACCTCGACTATAGCTTCTTTATTTCTCCGGTAATTATCACCCTTCACCTTGATTAACGGAAAGCTCATTTCGTGGTAATATTGAAAAATATTCAGAAAAGTTTCAATGCACTCATTGGAATCTGTTATTTCATCTAAAGCAACCCAATTTTCTGCACTGATAGCAGACAAGACTCTTTATCTTGATGACTTCGACAATTGCGGGACTAGCCAAACGTCACACCCCTAAGATGGAATATAGTCAAAGAATGCAGTTTTGCCAGGATCTCCCTGGGAAGCTGGCGCCGAAGAAATATCTGGCGATGACCAGAAAAAATCCACGATTAACAGTAGGATTTCTGACTGTCAACTACGGAAACACCTCAATAATATGGGGATAGTAGACACAGCTCTATGCAGGATGTGTGAACACGAAGATAAACTGTCAGGTATGTCTTATGCGAGTGTGCCGAGTTATCGTTAATAACACGGTGTGTTCGGCGAGTCTAGGCCTACACCTGCCGAAAGGACACGATGGAAGATGACCTAGGATAACAACTCCTAGGGAGGATGTACAAAGGGTCACATGTGGCCTAAGTGCTGTGGGCCTACACTCACCCTTCCTACACTACAGATACAGATGGTCACCACAGCTGGTTGAAAATGTATGACGTGTATATCGAAAGAGGCATGGATTAACTAGTACATTTCATTTTTAGAAACGGTTTTATAAAAATCTTCATCACTTTATCTCAATAAACATTCGTGTGAGAACCAATGATTCGAAATACTGTTGAGAAAGTTAGCTTTCATCTCAGGGTTGAATATACAATTGAATATGTCGGTCAATCACTTGAATATGAATTCGGCTGAAACAGAGCCCACTTTTGTGCGAAACCTTAAGTCATTTATATATTTTTTCAACTGAATATTTCAACCAGAACTAATTCGTGCATCAGTTGACAAAATGGATATAATTGAAGTATTTCCTTGGCCAGTAAATGTGTTTCATCATCCGCTTCTCTCAAGAAAAAATTCACATGATTTCTACTCAAACTGATAACTTTCTTGATCTGATACCCTTTAGTTTTCTATTTTGAAAAATGCAATAGCTTTATCTGCTAATATCTACGTTTTTTATGATAATAACAGCTTTCAACATTGATTATAGGGTCCAAATGTCGAAGATTTGTTAGTTACAGATTTATTTTCAAAATATGTCAGTAATGTTTCTTCATCTGTTTATATGATTGTTTTCTCTAAGCCAAAAAAAAAAGTGTTTAAAAGCTGTTTTCCCGTTAAACAGCCTCAAACTTCGGGTAAGCAGTTTCATATTGAATTCTTGACTTCTCAGGTAATATTAGTTGTGGTGGTAGATATTTTATTCCAAAGTCTGAAACCGATGCAAGTGATTGTGTAAAATGGTTTTGAGCAACTTCAATTTCAGTCCAAAATAAATCAACTTGTGTTTTTTAAGCTTAGCTAGTAGTATGTGCTAGTAGTAGTATACAAATGTTATTATTAATAATAACACATAGTACTAACTGAAAAATCAATTTTTCAATCTTTTTTCATTCTCGATTCGTGATTCTACTAAGGCATTTGAAAAAATTATGAGTTAACGTATTTCATTTCACCTCATTGTTAGCTTTTTTCGAAACAGTTCACGAAGCCAAATCAAGTATTAAACTTTTTCAGATGTTTTAATTCTGATGTATCTCAACTGAAGTTTCCTGTACCTCAGCCTTCTGATTATAATGCATCGAATGACAAGAAAGCTCATCGCTAGTGCAATTAACAAAAATAACTGAATGGTCTTCTAGATCGTGAGAAATATTTAACACTCAATTGAAACTTGACCTGTGTGATGTTTCAACCATGGTGATATTTTTTATTGGCTGGCACTAATAGTTGCAGAGTTTTCCCTTTTTCTTTCGTGTAGGAAACTCCTATGCATGATCTAAATTATATTCTCTTCAAAATTGACTGTCAACAAATTATCTGTATTGCAAATTCATCAAAAAAAATTACATAATGAGTGGGATTGTCAAATCTACAGCTCAAGACAAATTGTCAAAATTTCGAGAGAATTTCATAAAAAATATTTTTGAAATGAAGATTTTTTAAAACTCGATATTGTAAGCACACCACAATTCAAACCATCAACATCGATAAAATAATACATTCATTCTATAAAAAATTCTTCACTGAAAACTATCCCAATATGAACTTATTCTGTTACAAAATATCAAATTCGAAGAATTGTTTAATAAATCCGATAATTCATCTAAAGCATTGATTGTTATGAGAAAAAAGTGTATATTATACCAATTGATAAAATACCATTAATAAAAAAAAACTTTCTCATTTAAGTAACCACCTTTTATATTCATTGAAAAGATTTTTGAGGATCGGGAGAATTTTGATTTCAGATAGATTTCTTCTTTCCATACATATATCTATACCAATAACCGTTCTCAAATAACTAATTGAGACAATAAAAGAATATTCAATAAAGGAAACAATTGATTAAACCATCAAACTGAAAACGAAATGTGACCTTACCTAACGTATTTGTTTTATAGTGTTCAAATAAGTTCTATACTCCTTTGACTAAACAAACACAAATTTCGAAACAAATCTTTTATTTCAATGAAATCAAACCTTAAGCTTAACAAATATATAATCCCAAAACCGTGTTTGTATGATTCTATACAAGACGTTCAACTGAAACGGCATCAACCCAAAATTCAAAAGTAAATAATGTTTTTTTTGGATATTTGGCTATACAAAAATGTCTTTGGGAAACCCAACTGAGATATTTTCACTTTCAGTTATGTCAAAAGTATACGTACCTTCTTTCATAGCTAAGTCCACTGACATTTGTGTTTTCATATGAAAAAATACCTTTTATGCTCTGAATGAATATGAATTTTTCCTATGCAGAAGCTTTCATTATCCAAATGGCATTGGATTTCAATGACGTCTTCAGAAGATGAAAAACTGTAAATTTCCTGAAGACGCCAACTTGGTAGGTGAAACGCGCGTCGAGAAAGGTATTGCAGTTCAGCAGTGCTTGTTTTGGATTAATTCTACGCCATAGGTTCCAATTTTACCTTCCATTTTGAATTCCTTGTTGAATATAATCCACCTCAATAAACCTTTCTCATGTTTCCAATAGCTAGGTAATAATAAAAGTTGTACGAAAAATTGAATTCAATCGATGATCGATGAAAAGCCATTGCAAAAACCGAGAATTTGTAATGTTGAACAGTTTCGTAACGCAAATCGAAACTCCAAAATTGCAGATGTACACACTAATTGATATTTATGAGAATCAGCATACAATATCAAAGTACATTCCTCACAATGAATCCAATTCAGATTGAATGATAAAAAAACTGCATATACACATTCAAAAATGATTTTATGCACGACCGGGCATAAAGTAGCACATTATCGCCCGGATTTGCGGGCGTAAAATAGCACTCTAGCACCCTCGGATTACTTTACCGCCCGGCGGGCAAGACAGTCATTGAACAGGCGCTAAAGTGAATTTATAAACTCAATTTCGCATCCTCAGATGCTTTACTTATTTCTGATAGAGTACAATTCACACTTTCTTCGTCGCTTGAATGCATTTTAAAATCACTATGGCTACTCGCCTATATAATATCATTTCGAAAAATTCACTGAGTTGCCATGATAACATTCATTCCATCACTTCTTAATTGATATCTAGAATTACATTGATAGAACACGATAGAAATACATCAAGGCCGCCGCAAGGCAGCCTTGATGTATTGTATTGAGAGGTTTCTACCTACATGACATCAAATATACCGGTGGTGAATAAAATGTTGTATGTATTTCTGGCGTAATTTGCTTTTATGGACGTAGGCGTGTTGATATCCCTCGCTATCGCTCGTGATATTACTTACACGCTGCGGTCCATTGAAGCCTATTTTACGCCATTGATACATATATAAATATTATCACCACACATGGAAACGTGAAAATATCAAAAACGCTTAGAATTAAGGCTTGGATACGATTCAGGAATGTCAGCTGAAATATTGCATAGAATGAAAAAGTATACTTAAAATGTTTCCTTTTGAATAAATATATTGAAATTATGAATAAGCTGACTCGTTACTTGATGGAAATTATTAACAGTATTCATGATGATCAATAAAATTTCATATTTTAGACGTGTTTCTTCAACACCGTAGCTTCATCTGTAGTCATTAATACTTGATTAATTATTATCGTGGATAATATTGAATCATCTTGGTGGAATCATCTTGCAAGTAATCAAGTCTCTTGCCATGTTGCCAAATTTCCAAAAGTTTTTTATGTATGGTTTTCTTGATATAGACTGGTGCAGTTCTAGTTGAGATCCTTTATTTATCTTGGTTTTTATGATAGATTAATAAATATTATATATAGGTGATGTACCAAAATGTTATCAAAGACTAACCACAGGGTGCCAACCCACAGAATTTGTTTGGAATCTCACGTTATTTTTCAGAATGAAGAGGTGATATAAAATTTTCATTGAAAACAAAAATTCAAAATAATCCCAGATGACATGTATTACATTTCATCTGATATTAAAGTGATGCAACTACCTACTTTGTTAATCATCAATAATTTTCAAAAAACCTTGTGACTTCCCTTTGCTGGACGAAAATGCATAATTGAACTGGCATTGAAAAGTGTATAAACAACAAAAACTGGACACAATATCAATCCTTAACGTTTTTACATTTGGGTTTTCATAGTCAATCGTTGAATCCATCCGTGAAGGAGGATGTTTTTCTGCTACCACGACGAGACGTTCTTCCGAAACGATAACCTATATATCCTTCTGGATCTGGTAATCCCAAGAACGAGGCCACTTTCTTGGGATAAATACCAATTGTGTTCACACCAACGGGCTGGTTTACACATTTACCATTTCTGTAAGCTACGAAAAAACGTTGCTGATCAACACGAGATGGTCGAATATTGATATATTTTCGAATTATCTCTACCAAGTTCAAGCCGTTGATGGTTTCCGCTAGTATGATGAATTCTCGTTGTGATTTGGTCAGAGAATTTGGTATCGTGATTCGGAAATAGCTGCCTTCATCTTTAACATCTTCTATTAACATGTGAGACAATTCGTGTCTATTGCATTCACCAGCGACACCAATTATCAAGGCAACCTTAAACAAAAAGTAACTACTGGTGAATAATGAGTTGTCTCAATGTATACATTCATTCACTCATTTATTTACTTGTAACCAAACAAACTCAATTAGTTTTATGTCAATGATAATGAAAACAAAATTCCAATTGAATAAAATCAACTGACCAGCCATGCTTACAACTGTTTTTGTTGTGATCTGTTCAATGTATATTATCTGAAAAATATTGAAAAAAAAATCAACAGAACGAAAAAATAATAGATACATTCCATTTTCAGTATATACCAGTATTAGTTTTCAACCCATTAATGCCCAGAGGGTCGTTCACGACTCATTGATTTCTTTTTTCCTCATTTTTTGAACAAACGTCGTATATCAAGGGTTATCAAGAGAATTATGAAATTTATTTACAGATCACAACAATAGTTGAATGAATTTTGTAATACAAATTGCAGAGAAGCAATGCAAGGCAACTCTTACTGAAATAAAGCTAAATAACTTGTCACTTTGATTTAATAATAAATTACCTTCATCAAGAGGTACGTATGGTCGTCCGCTTCCCTCAAAAACGTATCAACATCTTGTTTTGTCAAATTCTTAGACTTTACCGCTTGATATCCCACTGCATTTTTCTTCAAGAATGCCAAAAGGGTCGTATATTTGCTGATATCTATGTTTTTCTTCATTGAAATCATATATTTCAACATTGAGAACTGAGCCCAGAGCGAGGAAGATTTTTGAACTTTCGACTTTTCCTCAAAGTAAGCGAACAGTACTTTCTCGTCAAGTTCTCCCATGTTATTTTCTTCACACCATTTTTCGAACCTTACGTAAGCCGACTCATAATTTAATCTCGATCGCTCAAGTATAAGTGATGGTATAGGAAAAGAAGAGGAATCTTCGACATCTGAAAGGAAGATATTTTAATCGTTCACGAATAACACATAGAATTGAAAAGGAATATTGAAAATATTGAATGTATTTTTGAACAATAATAGGTAGCTTCAACAGGCACGTCTAATTCTATCTCATATGAGAAAACTATTACGGAAAAATGAAATGAGTCCAATTCATCAGTAAATTCATAGATTATAACGTCATCCTTCACACAGAAGTCCATTAATGTAAGGTACTGGTTGAATAAGGTTGATTCTCACTTAGAAATTTGGAAATTTGTACTGTGGAGTGTGCTTAAAATAGTAATTGCCCAAACAACATAAAGAAATCTAAAAAACAAATCCTAAAAATGTTGATGTTTCTATAATGTGACCAATAAAGTCCGCATCATATGGTGGCGTTATCCGAAATTTGACTTTGGAATCGGTTTTCGCTTCGATTAAGATAAAACATAAAAAAATAGTAGTCACGTGATTCGCATTAACTGTTAAATTTTATTGAAAAAAAATCAGAAGTAGGGTTATTTTTCGGGACACCGAAAAAAGTTATAGAAAATAGATGATGTGACTACCTTTTTGATTATTTTTCATCTCAATCAAAGCAAAAACAGATGCCAAAGTCATATTTTGGAAGTCATCAATAAACAAGCTCAAATAGTACTTGAATTCGGCCAAATTAAGAACATTTTATTCAATAACAGATTTCGTTCGAGATATACTTAAAAACAATTCAGAAGAAACCCTCAAATGTAAGATAATTATTTTTGTTTGATTTCAATGAAATCCAATGAGTTCTCAAAATTTTTTGACGCTTATTTATTTGTTCCTGTTATAAGTTACGATATATTATTTTTTATTATAGTCAAGTACCTAATTCCTAATTCAAACTTCTATTGAGTTGAGGATAATTTGGGGAAAATTCAACAATGAACTGACTTACTGTAAGGAACATTGATTATCTTGTTGCAAAATTGTATGAGATTATACCATCGCCACCTCATCTCCATTTTTTACATTTGTTTTCTGAAGAAATTATGTATTTTATACATTTTATTTTTATCTTCAATCAACCTATTTTTGTTCATTCTGGAAATGCAATTCATTATAGTGATATAATGAAGGACTGTACTGGTTGGTTCAGTTTTCTTTTGGTCCTGCTTATCAACTGAAGGCGCAGCAAGGCGAATGTTGGAAGGTAAACTACAATGTAATTGTACTTATTGAAGTTCTAAAAACTATAATACATTTTCCTTCCAGTAAATCAGATGATAATTCATTTTTCCTCACGGGTAAAGCAATCATTCTTTCCATTGTGAAACATAGATAAGTAATTTCAGTAATTTAAAAATACCATTTCCTCAATTTCTAGATATGAGAAAAATCTATACTTACTACAAGTGTCCTGACTCCTATTCAGTAAGTAAACTTGATTATTAGAACAACGAATACCTAAATGATAATAATACCTGTTATTATATCAAATAATGGAAATACTAATTTCACTATAGGCTACAGATGCTATAAGTATTCTTCAAGGATGGTTGATCATTAACTGATGAGCATTAGGCCTGGTCGCCCTTGAAAGATGATGGCTTCTTCTTCTGCTTCTGCCTCCTGTTTTGAAACCAGATTTTGATACATTTTCGATCCAGTCCAGTTTCCTCCATCAATTCAGGCAGGCGACTTCTGTCCACAAATGGGTCAATGCTAAATGCATTTTGCAAAATAGTTTGCTGGTTGTTAGTAAGTGAGGTTCTTTTCCGACCTGGGTGCAGAAACATATGAGAACCCTCACTTGATGGGGGTGAAGATAAACTGTTTAGGAGAGTATCAAGGGCAGCACTGGGAATTGCGCTGAAAACTATCGTAAGGTTAATTTGTTTGATTTACAAGACAAGATGAAACACATATCTAATGGAAAATCCATGCCTACACATGCTGTTTTCTTGTGGTAGAGATGCGCTAACTCGACATAAGGCATTGTTGTGTTGAAATTTCCCAATAATATGTTGACAAATATTTTCATAATAGATTATCATTAGTAGACATAGGCCAAATTCATTCCTCAATACAATTTAATTTCGTACATCTTCAATTATGCATATATTATCAAGAACAGAAGACTGAGAGGTTACATATGCTAGAGGTGGAGTAGCAATATTAGTAAAAGAAAATATTCCTAACCAACAAGGTCGTATCAAATCTGAACTGGAAGTTGTTGCACCATGTTCCCCTCCTTCTCACATAATGCAAAACCTATTTGACAGATAACAAATGTGCGTTACTGAAACAATTGAGATCACTTTTCAACTACCGATCCCTTTGTTGGAAATTTCAATGCTCAAAACCCCTTACGGGGGTTCAGAAGAACTCGATACTCGCAAAAGAAAACTTTTCACTTCTGAAAAGATTTAGTCCGCTTTAACGATAGAGCAGGCATCCACCTAAATCTCAGATCTAACTCATCTTGTTTTTGCTCACCGACCCTCAGTCAACTATGTCGTCGGATATGCTTGAAGGAGCACAGCATTGAATACTTTCCAACTCCCATGCATGCCTTGAAAACGATAAATCAAACATCACCTAAACTCTCCGATACAGCTTACTGATATTGATGAGTCAGTTGAGATATAAGAATTGCAGCAAACGGGTTAGCCAACGAAGTAAAACTGGCCATCATTGACTTCCGAAACGGAAGGTTGAGGGAGCTCTTGGAATCCCTTCAGACTGCTCCCTCGCCCATTCACGGAGAGCGCGGAGTGTGCTACTCCCCCGCCGACAAAGCGTTGACCTTTGCCGACACGATGGAACGTTAGTTCCAGCTTAACGTCGACGATGATGATGACATCTACCGCGATATTCTGTTGAAAAATTGGGTCCATTGCATCCCCAGCTTCTGTCGAAGCTGGGCAAAGGGTAAAAGGTCTTCCGGGGTCGACTAAATAACTTATAGGTTGATGGAGAGGCTTCCGGAGAACTACGTTCAAATGCTTTTGAGCATAATAAATAGCTCACTGGCCCTCAGGTACTTCCTCAGAAGGTGAAAGCATGCAGACGTCGTTATGCTCTCAAAACAGGATCAGGACCCGCTGTTCCCACAAAACTATCACCCGATCAGTCTACTCTCCTCGGCGGCTAAACTGGCTGAAATATTCATTCTGCAAAGGCTTAACGAAGAAGTCGAGTACCGAAATTTTCTGCCTGACGAGCAATTCGGTTTCCGGAGGGAACACTCCACTGAATTATAGGCTCTGATACTGGAAGGCCTTCAAGTAGAGGGCTCCCTGTCTGACAACAGGGAGATCCTCACTGGAGTGCCACAGGGGACCATAATCTCTCCCACGCTCTACTCCCTTTACACCAGCGACCTTTCGAGGTCCGAGCGTGTGAAGGTATATCTATATGTCGACGAGATGACACTCCTTGCGTCTTCCATCGGGATAGTCTATACAGAACATGCATTGGACGACCTCGAACGCTCGTACCTTGATTGGAAGATTCTAGTGAACCCGAACAAAGCTCAGGCAATAACCATGAGAAGGACGACATCTTCTCCGGCCATGAAAGTGAGGTTATTTGAAAGGGAGATCGACTGGCAGGCGCGGTAACAGTACTTGGTCTTCTAATAGACCGTAGGCTCACCTGGACTCCACACTTCGAAAACGTAAAGTCCAGAATCGACGAATGAATTGCAAATCTGTACCCTCTGATCAAGGAAAAATCAAGCTACCCGCAGAGATTTGTAGCTGCCTTCCAGCTTTCCAGCAGTCCATTCAGTCGAGGAATCGCCGAGTTCTCGATAATGCGGAAACTCTCGATAATTAGTTAGGAAATCTATAGATTATGCTGTAGACGATCCCTTTCGATATAGTATGGCCCCGACTCTCAATCGAATGAGACCCTCATATCCTTTGTTAACAGATGAATAACTTTTTCACCTAAAACTTCAGCCAGGTAGGGGTACACCGTGAAGGCCGGTACGGATGTCTTAAGGACCTTCATACCGTCATCAATTTCCAGTTAGTTTTGTCTCTTTTGTCTTTCCGATGAATACACGTCGAAAGGGTAAGGGAGCTGGGCTCAATCCTGAATAATTTAAGATGTACAATCGGCAGCTGAGATAGTGAGTAATCGTATTATTGAAGTTACTCAGACAGTAATTCCCAAAACAAGCGGGAAGCACGATAATAAATAAAAGGAACCTGTTAATAATGGACACTGCCACGCAAAGCTAGTATTTCTACAACAGAACTCTATACTTTTCTTCAGACAATCTGGTTCTGCAAATGTAGTGGCAACCGAAATGTTCAAATATGTACAGATTGCCTCAGTTGTTTAGAAGTGAAACATCTTTTCACCAAGGACACTTTACATTCCTTGTGGTGCAATTTGCGATAGAATCGATGAAATGCAAGAATTGTAGCTCAGACATAGGTGACATTGTTGTTATACTCCAGGACATTAAAATCTGAATAAAAAGATACCTTAAAGATGTGTCATAATGAGTGGAATTGAACGGATGCTACACTCAATGAAGTAAAATCTACAGCTTCAGAATTTCATAAAAGAATTATGAAGAATAAAAGAAACCAATATATAATAATCCGTTTAAGAATTGGTCATAAAAATCTGAATAACATTTTTATAATCAGTGGTGAGAGGAAACTTAGGTGTGAGTTATGTGGAAACAAACTGACTGTGAACCATATTTTTGAAAATTCCCACAGTACGAAGATATCAGGACTGAAGATATCAGGCAGAAGATGTTAACCACATAAATATATTATATAACACCATGAATTTTTTTAATGAAAGTGGAATACATAACATGAGATGAAAAAATAATGAATATGAAATAATTTGGCAACACAGCAATCGATGTCATACAAATGCAAAACTAATGTTTTGTGGTAGTTGTTTAGAAAGAGAGTTTTTTCATTATGGAAAGGAAGTGTTAACTCGAATGGTGTATGTTTTTATATAATGCTTTGTAATATTGAAGGAACGATTTGAGACAACAGGCAATGCACATTGAACAGAAAAAAAAATGAAACAATAGTGACTTTTGAAAACAAATCAACTACTTGTTCGCATACGGTTTGTCGGACGATACAAAATTAAATTACAGAAAATAATATTTCTGTAGTAGAAACGGATTCGTAGGCCCAACTACCATTATTGAAGTATCGAAAATCCATATAACCTTTATGTTAACAATAATGTACGAAATGTGGTTTCAGCAAGGTTGGACATCAGCACATTTTTTGAGAAAAATACGAGTGGAGTTGAATATAATCTTTGCTATTAGCGAACATTACATCCAGAAATTTTATTTTTGAGGAACAATAAAATCGAAGGTTCATTATACTGTTGCTACTTAACAGAATGACATGAAAATGAGAATTCGTTAAGTATTTCAACGAATTATTCCTATTCATTTGAGCCGCGTGACAATACAGTTCATCAAGAGTTTCAGAATTTGTATTGAACAGGCTGAAACACATTTTGAACATGTACTGTAATTATGAGTAGGTACAATAAGGTTCACCAATGCAATCGTGATTTAGCCTAGCACCACTGATGAGATTTATGGATGATCAAAACAACGCTGTCTGCTGATAGATTACGAATGACTGTAATTATTGTCATACCTACCTACTGATATAATTTTGAAAAACAGTGTTGGAAGTAACACAAAACATGTTGATATCAATTACATGTAGGATTCGAAAAACCTAACGTTTGTACAAAATTCAAAGTAGCATTTGACGATCAGAGAATATTTAATGACGATCAGAGAATATCACGCATCTCGGTGTTCTCTTCAATTCCACCAAACAAAATTCATATCTATGCGAAACCAGATCCATTACTATTTTTTTTTCAGAGCCTGCAACACCCTCATTTTCCGAAAACATGTATAACTTGTCATCGACGTATAAAAAGTCATTGCTGAGTAATAGCAGTTCAATGACAGAATAAAATAATATATATTTTTGTTACTACTGAACACCATGAGCGTCTGGAACAATATACAAAACGTGAACATTCTGATACCATATAACTTTCATTTATTACAGATCACATAAAAATATTGAATCGCCCCTGTATGTTTGCCAAACATTTAACGTCTCCTCAACTTCAAGCCGGTTGACTCTCGTTAACAGCTTAAATTTAGCCTATGTGTCGCGTTATAAACTACCTATATTAAGAATATACGTTTTTTGAATAATCAGTTGAAGCTGAACGTTTGAACAATAATATTTCGATAATCGAAATTATTGTGCTGGAAAGTTGAAGGTCTTATGTCACATTACCAAAAATTATATCTACTTCAAATTATGTACACATATAATGAGAATCAACGAGAATGTCGGAGGGAATGTGTTATGTTCAAAGATGATTTATATTATGTTATTCCTTGTAACGAAAATATAAGTAGGTATGTTATTATAATACAAATCTTCAGTATCGAAGAAGAGTGTATATTCAACTTGAGATTTACCTATTACAAACAATGACAGCAACCTTCATTTTGATTTCACGCACTTTCAAAACTAACAATTCAATTATAATTACTTATGCCACGCCATAACAGTGTAATACAATCGCTTCACTTTCACAGAAATAAGTACGTATTAAAATACTTTCAGGTCACGTTCCACAACACTCATATAACCGATGTTCAGCGTACGAAATCGACTGCACTCGACGAAACGACAGTGTTGCCAGTTTATTAATATCTACCTAAAGCAACGGTCAGCAACAAGCGGGCCGCGGTCCGTTTGCGTACAGCGAAAGGTCGAACCTCGGACCGCCAAGTATACCAAGTATAAATTATTACGTAGATAAGGTATACAATACCTTAATTAATTAAGAAAAATAATTTTGAGCCACATAGAAATTTATTTAGAACCTATTTTATTTTGAGTTTCCTAGCTAGCCTGTTTTACAAGTACCTACAACTGATACGGTTTCATTAGTTTCCCATCTAGCCTGGCTAATTGAAGAACAAGTAACCTCTTAACCTTTTTTTAGATACGCAGAAAGCACTTTGAATTCATAACAAACAAGCGCAATATGCTGGTTGTGGCTTTCCTAAAAGATATTTTGAAATATTTGAATGTGCTCAACACAGAATTACAAGGAAACGTTAAATTGATATATGATCTGATACAAAGAGTGTCTGCTTTTCGTCGCAAGCTGGATATCTTAGAAAACGATATTGCAAAACAAAAATTCATTAATTTTCCGACAATTCTTGAATATAAAAAGAACTCTTACGAAGACATAGTTCAGTTATTGAGAATCTGGCCGATCTTAGAAACGATGTAGCGGCAGAATGGATAGATGTGGCTGTCAACTTATTCAATCTGTCAAAGCCATCACTTTAAATAGAAGATGGGTCTTTGCAAATGTATGAAACGGTATCCTGATGAGAATTCTGGACCCAACATGTCTCGGAAAAATATGAAAATTACAAGAAACTACCTATAAATTTGGCCACTACGTTTGGTTCGACGTACGTATGTGAAACACTCTTCTCAAAAATTTTTCTTTTTTTAATAAATATCGTTCGAGATCAACAGACGCTCAATAGAAGATTCACTTCGAATTATTTGCTGTTCCTCTCGAGAACCAAATTGGCTCAAGACCGTCGGTGTAGTTTCTCACATTAATTTTAGGTCTTGTGTTCTATAACTAAGAATTTGATTTGAAACCAAAATAATACATAAGTAGCACCTCATTCCGGACCTCAATAAAATTTTCCCACAGTATCCGGACCCTATCTAAAACTACTTGACGACCCCTGACCTAGAGGGTGACGGCAGTCTGTTGAAATCTGTTAAAACCCACGAATTGTACTCTGTAATCTTAG